CTGTTGTTGATGCGTCCTTTTCTATTCCTTATGTTTCTTCTTTGTGTAGGCTTTTGAGGGGTGGGCGTGGTCTCCTCTTGAATTAAGGTGCTGGTCTCAGATGCTCTACGTGCAGCAAGGAGAGAAGAGCTAGAGAGTTGGGTTCATATCATAAATAAATTTTTGAGAGGGTACAAAAGGTGAATATTGAAGTATTTATATGGAGGGTAATTTGGTACTTTCAAGTTAGAAAGTGAGTATTTGTGGTTAAGTTTTATAAAGTGATTATTTCTGATTAAGATTTATCTTTAGTGACTATGTAAGTCAATTTCCCAAAAAAAAATCAGATTTTATCAAACCCTTTTTGCCAAAATTACGATTTTGCCATTGAGGGTATTTTGATCGTATCTCTCTCGTTACAACTCCGATTCGAGTTCACTACGTGTCTACGGACTCATCTCGCCGCACTCTACTCAACAGTATAGTCGGAATTTCAAAATTCCTTCCTAGTCAAAAAGTCAACTTTAAACCTAATAAAATATTCCAGGGGCGAAATGGTCTTTTATTTGAATAACTTAATATTCACCTATTTATTTTGGATCGGGTCGTTACACATAACCCTCTATTTTGTCTTTATTATAAAAATCCTAGAAGTCTTCATTCTATTGAGATGAGTTGTTGCAATGCCAAAATTGAGTTCCCAGAACCCTAACAACAAATAAGCTTAAACCCTAACCTCAAATCCAAATGAGTTCCCACTATTATATCATATATGAGATACATTCTTCAACTCAATGGCAATGCAAAAATTGGTGGATATACTCATGAAAGTTGCCTTGGCATTGGAATAAAGGCATGTTATTGTACACACACACACACACACTCTCACTCTCTCTCTCTCTCTCTCTCTCTCTCTCTCTCTCTCTTCATTGCTCTGATTTGCTTGTAATTGTACCGACATGGCTCCTAGCAAGTGGGGGTGTGTGGGGGAGGACCTTACTTGGCTATGAAGGGGATGAGGTTCTGCAGCATGCCCGTGTTTACTTTTCTTTTTCTTTTTTTCTATTTTGAATTTTGTTTGTTTTTGTTTTTACATTTTTTTTAATATTGTATTTTGTAAAATGACAAACTTACCCTTATAATTGATGAAAAATTGGATGGAAATGTAGAAACTTGACGGTAGGTGTTAAATTGGCAATAAAATTTATTATAAGGGCTAAATTGGCTGAAAAAATAATTCATGGTGGACATTTCAATAAGCGTTATAGTTCAGGGGGGTTTTCGGCACTTCAGCCTTTATTTATTTTAACATTCACTACTTTTTTTTGCACAAATTGTTAAATATAGATAGATCTATGAGTCCATGATATCATGGGATTAGGGCAGCCTTGGGGGGCTGTGGTGGCGATCAATTACAAGGGTATGGTGGCTAGCTAGGGTTGGGTGGTACTGTTCTTGAGTGTTGGCTTGTTGGGGAGGGGATGCAAGTTTGGACCAAAATACCCCTGAATTGATAACAAAAGTGGAGACTAATTTGACAGAAATTAAGATTGTCCTTAAATTGCTACAAATATAAAATTACAATGGTAAAATTGACGGAATTGAAACTACATGGTCAAAAGTGATTGAAGTGTCAAACTACAGAGACCAAAAGTGACTTTCGTCCATAGTCTAAAATATTGATAATATCAACGAAATATCGAGGGTATTATCGTTTTTTCGGGTCACGGATACTTCGGAACTTATCCATACACATATTGTATAAATATCGATAATATAGGAAAATATCGATTTCGATAATTTCACTCACACCGAAAATATCGATGTAATGGAAAAAAAGAAAAAAATAATAAAGCACAACGCAAAGGGAATTCAAACCCTTGCTATTTCACTCCTCCAATGCCTTTACCGCCATGTTGCTTATGTTTTTGTAAATATGCTAAAATATGTATATTTATATTGTTTTGTTTTGAACTGTTTTTGCAAGAATTAGATTTTCACTTAAGAATGTGAGTCTTTGACCTTTCTTTTTGGGATGGAATCGAGCTGATCATAGAAAGAATCCGAGACCCAATCTTCAAATGATTTTGCTAGTGGACAACGTCAACCAATCTCGGATCCATATGGGTAGCATGTTAACAATTACATGGAAAACTATTTTGGGGATTTATCATTTGATGACTACTCAAAAAATACTTACTCTACACATAGAGATGATGAAGATACTGAAAAGTTTGAACCTCATAATCACTCATGTATCTTACCATGCAATGTATAAGGTGTAAAATATTGTAGTAAATCATTATATACAAATGATTATGGTGTTTTAATATTCTTTCATTAATTATTACATATTTTCTACACTCACAGTGTTTGTCAGCTTGCTATATAATTAACTTAAATCAGTTAAACCCATCATGTAATGAATTTCCTTCCAATTTTTTGTGATAAACTAATAGATAATTGACTAAATAAACATCCTCCAAAGTTTCAATAAAAATTTCAAAGTTTTTCTTATAAATTTTCTTTTGGTGTTTTTGATAAATTATTTTTGCATTTGTGTTAAACTGTGATTTGCAGGAAATAAGAATGCCTCCTTCCAGGGAATGAGGGAAGCAGTGTCCCTTTTTTAATTCATGTAGCCCTTCCACCAAAACCATAGTTCTCTTCCTCATCTAATGGGTTTTTTAGGTTATGTTTTTTTTGTTTTGATGGGTAATGATTCAAGTTTTTTCTTTGTTTCATTTTCGTGGTTCTCCTCATTCTCAATTATTTGAGCTTTGTAATTTGGAAGAGAGAGTTAAAGAATTGAGATTTAAAAGGGAGCAAAAGACTGAAGGTTTAGACCAAAAAAAGAAAATGTGGATTGCAGGTGAGGATTGAAGGGAGGTCACTCATGGGGGATGGGAAGGATTGAAGGTTCAGCCAAGAAAAGAAAGAAGGAGGAGCATTTCAGAGGAGAGAATGGAAGGGAATAGGAAAGGAGATGTCAAAATGCTTGATAGGTGGTGGCATTTGATTGCGTTGGGATATTGATGTGGTTTGCTAACCTGACGTACCCGTGTCAGGATTTTTTTTTGCTTTCCATGCCTGGTGGTTTCCTCATATTTATTTAAATTCTTGTAACCTAAGCTTCATACTAAGTAACCATTTAGCATTGATTATTTAAGGGGAAATCACTTTCTTTGAAATTGATGCGAGTGCCAGGGTGTTTGGTAAAAAGAGAAGAATGTGATTATTTGAGAAATTCGCTGTCAATTACAATAGTTCAGGAAAGCAGGAGTGGAGGTGATTTTTGTTTCCACTTTCTTGAGAATCAGGTTGGAATCGGTCAAGACATTAATGAATTTTTGCAAAATATAGCCTTATTTTTTTCACAATTTCCACAAAATGCCCTCTTGGCTACTTTCTATTCCACATGTTGTGATTCTTTCAATTCTTTTCGCCATCCAATAGCTTGGCAATGCTAGATTGAGTGCATAAAGTCCCAAACTCCAATATTAGTTTTCAGACAAAAAAAGAAAAAGAAAAAAAAGGATGTCCGATATTTGTTCTATTAAAAATTAAAAATTATGGAATTTTTCTTACAAATTATAATAGTGTAGAATTTTACAGTCAAAATAGTTTTCCACACAGTATTTATTTTATTATTAACATAATTTTTAGGGTGTGATGGTTAAAAAAACATATTTAATACCAGAATTTTATAAGTGAAAGTAAAATTGTTTTTCTTTTTATCAAAGACTTAAATAGAAAAGTCATTTCAACATAATGTCCTTCTCGGTACTTTGGCTGAACTATATTTTCTTGATAACTATTAACATGACATTTTATACGTTACAGGAGAATCAGCCACATAGCTCACCATCAAACCATGGATGCATGTTGAGAATGATGAGTCTAGGGTTCCAGTAAGTGCTTCTCTTATTATTTTAGTTCTATTCTATTGCTTTGTATTTGGTATTCAATTTTGCATCTCCTTAACTTGGTTTTGTTTGTGATTCACTGTGCCTTTTTTCCTTCTTTTCGGCTCGATCTTCTGATTGTGTAATTAATTAACTGCTAATTTTTGGCTTTTGCTTTGTTTACTGAACATTTGGCAAAATCTCTTATTATAATCACAAAAGTGGGCTGGAATAAAAGGAAAGACAATAAAAAAAATTAAAAAGAAAAATTAATATGACTTTGATTGATCAGATGATATATCCACCGTTGACTCTAATGACTTGGCCGTTGACCCACTCCCCAGCATCCCCCGCCAAAAAACCCACCACCTGAGCCACATCGTTGGGCTCCCCCAGCCGATTCAGAGGGCAAGCCTCTGCAATCTTCTTCACCGTCTCCTCACTCTTCCCTGCCAAGAAAAACTCCGTCGCAACGGGCCCCGGTGCCACGCAATTCGCCGTTATCCCGCTCCCCTTCAGCTCCTTCGCCAAAATCTTCGTCATCGTCTCTGCCGCCGCCTTCGACGCCGCGTAGGCTCCATATCCTGGCTTCAGCCCCCGGACGAGCGAGGTCGAAATCGCGATGATTCTCCCGCCGCCGCCGCGTCTCAGCCTTCTCGCCGCCTCCCTAGATACCAAAAATGCCCCTCTGGCGTTCACGCTGAAGGTCTTGTCCCAATCCTCCACGCTCGTCTCAGCCAAAGTTGGAAGCTTTGGGTTCAAAATTCCGGCGCAGTTCACGACGATGTGGGCTTGGGTCTCGAATTCTTGCTCTGCTCTGTCGAAGAGATGCTTTACCTGCTCGGGATCTGAGACGTCGGCTCGAACTGCAATGGCTTTGGATTGGGTATTTTCGCAACTGTTGAGCTCGCAAGCTAATTGGTCTGCTTGCGTTGAGTTTGAGGAGACGTAATTGATGACCAGCTTGGCGCCGAGGGAGTGGAGTTGGGTTGCAATGGCGCGGCCGATACCGCGCGAGCTTCCGGTGACGATTGCCACACGGCCGTTGAGGGGAAGGGAAGAGGAAGAGGAGTTTTGGGCTTCGGTGCCGGTGATCTGAGCAGCCATGGGTGGCTTGATGGAGATGGATCTGCTCTGCTGAGGTTGTGTGTATGAGTTCTGTTGGTATTGGGTGGTGTGCAAGGTTTATATAATAATATTTCTAGGCACATACATAAGCCACATCATGGATGACGATTTTGATATTTTCTATTTCTATTTCTAAGGCACATACATAAGCCACATCAAGTCATTGTATTTGGTGATTACATATTCTCATACGCAACAAGTTTATATGATTTAAGAAGATGCCTGTTATTTTATTCCAAATGAATTGCGACACTGCATACGTGACAAGTTTATATGATTTAAGAAGAAAAAAAAACAGTATGTGTTGATAAGTTTTGTTATGTATAAATTTTCTCCGGTAAATTTCACTTTATTATTCACAAGTTTATCGGAATTTAGACTTTAATACCTAACGTTTTTTTGTGTCAACTTTGTACCCAAATTTGAACTTTCCTACCATTTTCATTTGCTTATTAGTTATTTACCCCCGTTTCGGATCGGATCCATCTCCACTAAACAAACAAAACCATCTCAAAGTTCAAACTTTTTTTTTTTTTTTTTTTTAATGCTAGCAAAGAGCTTCTTCTTCAATTCTATTAGAGCATCTCCAGCGTAGGGGCGCTACCAGGGCAAAAGGCCCCCCTCGAGCCCAATCCACTCTCCAGCGCAGCAAATCTAGCCCAGGCAAGCCCAAGGGCAGATCTTGCCTGGGCTTCAGCCTGAGGGGGCTGACGTCAGCGAGCAAAAAAAAAATCAAAAAAATTGAAAAAAAAATTCAATTTTTTTATTAAAAAAATATCAAAAAATTATGGATGTTTTCCCTATAAATACATAACAATTTTATTCACTTTCCCTATAAATACATAACAAGTTTATATTTTGTTGCATATTCTTTTTTTTTCTTGCCCTTGCCCTAGCCCTAACCTTTTGGGGTGGAACTAAAAAAGGTAAGGCTGCCACTATTCACGTGAATAGTAGCAGCCATTGCTTGCCTTTGCCTTTGCTTTAGCCTTTTGGGGTGGACATGCTCTTATATCTCTACTTTAGTTTCTTGTTGATCTGCTTTTTTATGGCTCTACTTACTTTTGTACCAACCCCATCCAATCCAATTTAGCTTTGACCTGAACTCCACCCCACAAATTTCCAGACTGCATCGGGTCCAGTTATGATGTTTTACAAATCAACAACCCAAATTTGCAAACCCCCAAATTTCTAAAATGTACCCATTTTGAGATAGTACGGCCTATGCCATTATCGAACAATGGTTCCTACCACTTTGAGATCGTACAACATGGATCTAGTTGGAATAAATCTGGATCACCAAGAAGACCTGCGATTTCAAGATGTTGTTGGCTAGCCATGGTGGTTTTCTTTCTTTCTTCTATTTCCTCTTTGCTTTTTGTGTAAATTCTCTGAGTTCTCTATCATTATTAATTGTGGCGAGGCGGTGGTATTGAGTTTGGTTTGACTGGGGATGTCGAGGTAGGGGGCTTGGTGCGTATTGGGTATTTGGCCGTGAGGTGTTGCTGTTGAAGAGAGAAAGGTATGGTGATGGGGTAGAGAGAGGGGCAACAGGCATGGCATGAATCATGATAAAATGGGAGAAGACAAAGAAGGAGGGTGGTGACGGGATGAAGGAGAGATAAACTTTTATTCTTTTAATTAAGGCTTTTTATCACAAATGGTTCTTCACGTTTACGAAATTATCACGAATGGTCCTTGAGGATTTTTTGTGACACTAATAGTCCTTAACGTTTAGGCTTTTTATTACAAATGGTCCTTACCATTATAAATTCTGTTAAGTGTGATGTGGAAGATAAGTGGAGCCCACATGTCCAATCACATTGCGACATGTGGATAAAAAATAATTAAATAAAATTTTAATGAAAATTCCATTTATTTTTCTACAACTTTTCATCTCCATCCTTGCTCTGTCGCTCTCCTCCTCTGCCCTTGCTCTCCACCCTTTGCTTTCCATCTCTTCTCCCTCTGTTTTTTTCCCTCTGCCACCTGCAAGAAAAAATAAAGATATACAGTTGCTCTCCGTCTCTTCTCGCAACTCGCAACCCATGCCCAACTCCCCTACCATCTCCCTTTGTTTTTGCTCTCCTCCTTTGCTCTCTTCCTCTGTTTTTTATTAAACCTTCCAGATATTCAACCTTCCAGCTTCACTCAAGCACAACCCAGAAAAGCAAACCAAACGAACTCACTTTCAAGTAGATTCCAACTCCACAAAGAACACGAAAATGAAGGTTCAATAGTACATGAGGAATATTGTAGATGTTTGGTCACTTTCAAATCCATCCATGGTTTATCACAACATATAATTTACATCATGAGTCACAAAAGCTCCTTCGTCCTCCACACACAACATGAAATGGGCAAAGTGAATTTGAAAATTTAAGTAGGATTGTGCAAGGACGGACCCAAGATTTCAAAATGGCGTGGGCTAAATTTAGCTTACGTACAAACCTATTGAAAACTCAACGGTACGAGTAAATTTCATTGATAACAAAAAAATACACCCGGGGGGGGGGGGGACATAATGAGCCTTACCCCTTAAATAACACTTATATAAGTTGCACCATTCGAGTCTTCACAGCAATAAAATCACTAATTATTGATTCATTATCTATATTATAAGCTAATTCTCTTTCAATATGAAGTAGCATACAATCAGCAAGAAACTCATCACCTATCTTATTCCGAAGTCGATTTTTAATAAGTCTCATACATGAAAATGCTCGTTTGTTGTTGCTGTAGACACAAGAAGAGTTAGCACCAAACGAATCAATCTGTCAATCAAGTAGTATGTTTCTGCTAATTTTGTTTCAATTAAGCGCTCAAGTAATATAGGGATGGAATCAATATTCTTGAAGGCTTCAATGCGATCCATAGCAATCTTATAAAATCCCAATTGCTGATTTAAAGCATGCAACTCAGTTGTAGTGAAATCTAAAGGGTAAAATTTCTCAGCAAGAGTGCATATATCATCAATGTTAAATCACTTGAAAGCATCACGAGGATCTAATGCTGAGCTAAGAGAAAGGAGTTCCACAGTCTCATCTAGAAATCTAGTATTTAACTCCCCCAACTGATAATCTATTACCTCATTGAATACATCAATATGATAATAATGCTCAACTGTGATACAATCTCTTTGTTGACAAGAACGGCGAGTGCCTATTGTATGACGGGCACCCATATCAGGCATGTTAAGATCATGTTCTTCACAAAATGATTGCACACTCTGTATAAAATCATTCCACCCATTATTTCTCAACTCATCGAGCTCCTTTTTTGTACTTGCAATCAATTTCAAAGCCTTTACAATGTCTTGAGATTTTCTTTGAAGTTCTTAACAAAGAAAATTAGTGAATCTCATAGTTTTGTCCAACAATTTCAAGGCAAAAACAAAGTCAAAAGATAACATAGATATTTTAATACCTTCTGCTTCGCCACGAAATTGTGAGGTAGGTCCATTATGACTGATATCCGTTAGAAGTGTCTTGGTTGCACCAAATAAATCAATCAAACTCCTAATAGAATTAAAATGTGACCCCCAACGAATACTTCCAGGTCGTTGCAAACAACGAATTTGATTAGCCCCTTTAGCTGTCCCAAGTCTTCCAGCAGCTAGTAATTCTTCAATTTTAGCTTGTCGGGTTAATTTTAACTCAGAATGACGTTTGACAGAAGCACCAACAAAATTCACAATGTTATTCGACATTGAAAAAAATCTTCAAATGAGTCCTACCTCTTTAGCTGCACCATTTAAAGCTAATTGAAGACGATGAGCAAAGCAGTGTATATAATGTGCATATGGACAATCATTGAGAAATAATGCTTGTAAGCCACTCCATTTACCACGCATATTGCTAGCATCATTATATCCTTGACCACGTATATTGCTCACTAAAAGATTATGCTTGCCAAGAACTTTACAAATATCACTTTTAAGAGTTGAGGAGTTGGTGTCATGAACACTCACAATATCAAAAAACCTTTCTTTAATATGCCCATCACAACCAAAAAACCTTATGATAATAGCCATTTGTTCCTTCTTAGAGTCGTATAGCGCTTCATCAACAAGAATACAAAATTTCTCATCTTCCCCAATTTCATCGCATATCCTCTTTCTCACTTTGGTAGAATAGATACTTAAGATCTCCTTTTGTATCTTATTTGAAATATATTGGGCATTCAAGGGAGCATTTTGTAACACAACTTTTTCAATGTTTACATTCATTCTTGCAAAAGCCTTTACCAACTCAATGAAATTGCCTCGATTAGAGGAGTCATAAGATTCATCATCACCTCTAAAAGTCATTCCTTGATTTGCTAGATACCTAATCGACTCTATTGTGGTTGTAAGCCTTAACCTGTTTTTTGCAACTTCTTGTGGGGTTTGCACTACTCAGTCAATATGGTGAGTCGGGTTTTTTAAATCCATCCACTTTTGCATAGTAAAATGATGTGGTAAATTTATATTGCCTATATGAATAAGGAAAACACACTTTTTCCACCAACTCTTCTCCAACTTCTAAATCCTTCTACAGTGAATGCCTTATGTAGGTGATCAATGTCAAAAAGGAAGCATGGAAAGCAAAACACTTTGTCTTTATGAACACTATACTCAAGCCAATGGTGTTGCTTTTACCAACTACCAACAAATCGACGCTTTTGTTTCCCTTCTAAGTGTGATGGAAATTCCTTTAATTGTGGTTGACATGGTCCTAAAAGAATATGCTCTTCGAACATTATCACGTTCATTAAGTGGATATGTGTCTATTTGAGGACGTAATCCGGGATCACGCTCAAGAGAATTGGTAGTAACTTCTTGATGAGACTCGACTCTTACAGTTTCATCCTCAATTCTTTGAGGTTGAGAAGGAGGTTGCTCCTCACAAATTGGAGGAGACAGAGAAGGACCTGAAGGCATGCTAGTTGATGATTCATCATTGTTTCTCTTAAAAAAATCTTGAATGGTCCTTGATCTCTTAACATTACGATGTTGACCCGACATTATAAAGTATAACCTATTGAATAATATATAGAAGATGTAAACATATACACCAACAAAAATTTCAAGAAAAACATTACATACTTAAATAGTTAGTTAAAATTCCCAATTGACAATTCATACAAGCAAGCAAGAACACCAAAATTAAAAACTAATTGATAAACCTTAATTGTAAATCCCTAATTGATACTTCATAAACCCTAAATAATCCCCAAAATTTCAAAAGAAAAGAAGATGAAGAATGGAAGATTACCTTAGTTTGCTTTAATTAAGTCCGAGGGCATGCATAATTTTCCTTCTTGTCGAAGAGCAGGAGTTAGCCGCAAGCGGATGCAATAGAGAGAATTCTTTTTCTTTCTTTCCTTTTTTTTTTTTTTTTGGATAAAGGAGAGAGGGAATGTCTATGCCTAGTGGGAGTCTAATTTTTTTCACGTGGGGTGTGGGGTTTAGTTCTTTTTATTTATTTGTTGGTCAGCCTAGTTCTAGTGGGATTAGTTAATAATATTTTATTTAGATAGCCTAGTCCTAATGGGAATAGTTAATAATACTTATTTGGATGAAGGTTTGTTTGAAATTGAAAGTAATTATGATAAAATTGGTTGTCATTTGCAGCCATTGATTGATGGCAAAGAACCAATAATTTTCTTTTCCTTTTTTTTTCTTTTTTTATTTGTGTGTTTTCTGACCTAGGCTAGAGTATTAATTTAACTTTTTAAAAAAAAAAGTTACCTGGGCTTTAGCCCAGGTTAGCTTACTAGTGGGTACGTCCCTAGGATTGTGGAACATTACAAGGCCACACTTGAACTTGAAATAAAACCCACTTGGCCTCACCATTATTTCGACTGAAATCTAAATGCAAAACACAACATTTTTTTTGTTTTCTCTGTGGCAACCACTTACAAGTTACAAAAGAAAGGAACCCCAAACAAAGCATCGACAGGCATTTTTTTCCTAGCTAGTTCTCGCGCCATCTCTCTCATTTCCTCTAGTGACGGAGGTCTCGGCGCTTCCCATACAACATAAGAATGCTGCAGACAGTGGCAGAGCCAGGAATGTATGTGTTGGGGGGCTAACATATAAACCAAACAAGACATTAAAAAAATTCAAATTTTCAACCTTAACAATGTTTGGAAAAATTAAAGGAAAAAAATAATTATTTATTCAATTAGATATCAAAATAACACTTGTCGTTCTTTCATATCTCGAAAACCATCTATAATTGAGTCAATGCTAAACTTTTTTGCAATTTCCCTTTCGATGTACATAATCAAAGAGTCTGTGAGAAATTCGTCTTCCATCTTATTACAAAGCCTAGTTTTTACTATACGCATAGCAGAAAATGATCGCTCTGCAATTGTTGTAGAAACAGGAAGAGTAAGCACAAGTACAACCACTCTATAAACAAGTGGATATGTCGTTGATCTTCTAGTCGTTACCATCCATTGAGATAAATCAGAAATTGTTGACAAGTTTTTGAACTCTGGAAGTCTAACGACGTCATTCTCAAAATGTTGAAGTTGTCTTCTCAAACCTATCTTCTCATGATCTTCAAAGTCTTGCGGATATAACTTATCTACCAATTGACAAATATCATCAATTCTAATAGATTTATTCACTTCACAAGGATCCAAAGCCGACCCCAGAATAAACAGTTCTGTTGTTTGATCACTAAATCTGCTATTTAATTCTTGAAGTTGAGAATCTATTGCAGCATAAAAAAATATCTATCATGTAATAATGCTTAATCGTAAAATCATCTTATTGATGGCGAGCTCGACCTCTTCTTGCAACATAACGAGCATTTATATCTAGGATATCTATGTTCCGTGCTTCACAAAAAGAATTCACCTTGGTAAGCAAAGAATCCCATCCATCATCTCTTGATTCTTGGATGAGTGCTTTGGTGGAAGAAACAAGATTCATGGCATTTATGATGTCTTGGGATTGACATTGCAAAGCTTGACAAAGATCATTAGTGATCTCCATAACTTCTTTCATTAGATGTAAGATAAAGACAAATTCATATGAAGTCATTGCCTCATAAGCCGCATCAACATCTCCTCGTTGAGAATAAGTAGTTCCGTTATCAATTATATTAATTAGAACTATGCATGTTGCACTAAACATATTTACCAAGCTAGTAATTGATTTCAAATGAGAACCCCAACGAGTATCACCAGCACGTTGTAAGGTGCCAATTTGGTTCATTCCTTTCCCAGTCTCAAGCTCGTCAATTGCAATCATGTGCTCAATTTCAGCAGCTTGAGCATTTTTTAGTTCATTATTACGCTTGCATGAAGCATCAACAATATTGACAATAGAAGTCAATTTAGTGAAAAAGTGGTGAGCATGAATAACTTCTCTTGATGATGCAATTAATGCCAATTGTAATCGATGTGCTAAACAATGAACATAGTAAGCATATGAGCAATCATTCAAAATCAAAGCTTGTAACCCATTCCATTCACCTCGCATGTTACTTGCACCATCGTATCCTTGTCCTCTAATATTTTGAGTATTTAGTGAATTATGAGACAATATAAAGTAGATACCTTTTTTCAGAGTTATTGCCTCAGTGTCTGACACATGAACAAGCCCAAAAAAAGGCTCCTGAATAAGACCTTCTTTGTCAACAAATCGCAACACTATAGCCATTTGCTCTCTCTTGGATTCATCACGCGCTTCATCAACAATTATACAAAACTTTGATTACCCAATTTCTTCACAGATTGCTTTCTTCACTTTAGTTGAAAAAATATTTAAAATTTCTTTTTGGATCTGTGGTGATGTGTAAGAGGCATTTTTGGGAGCTTTATCTAAGATAACACCAACAACTTTTTCATTATATGCAGCCAATATTTCTAACATTTGAAGAAAATTTCCACGATTGTTTGAATTTTTTTTTTCCTCATGGCCTCTAAAAGCACATCCTTGGAATGCAAGCCACCTGACTGCTTCAATTGTTGCCTTAAGTCGTAGTCGATTGTCTACAATTTGTTGGGAAGAATAATTCTCAACGACTTTCTGTATATACTGGGATTGATTCATCAAATCCACACATGATATTTCAGCAATCTTATGAGGGGAGTTAGGATCTTTCCCCTCTTGATTTAGAAAGGAACAATTTTTTCCATCTCTAACTTTCTTCCAACTTTGAAATCCCTCAAGAGTGAAAGCATTTTTTCCAGAATGTCCAGATGGTTTGTTAAAAAGATAGCACGGTAGACAAAAAGCTGCATCTTTCACAGGTGAATATTCTAACCACGAAGGAAATAATTTGAACCATGAACTTTGAAAGCTACGCTGATGAGTTACTGATCCAGATTTTGGATACTTGGAAAGTATAGGTTGGTATGGACCGACGTTAATGTAAGCTCGTCGAATTTCGTCACGTTGATTAACAGGATAATTCCATATTTGCCGACGTAGCCCTGGGTCGCGCTCTAAAGTACTAATATCAACTGCATTGTCAGTAGTCTCAATTCTTGGAGATCTAGAACGATTTTCATATGCTTTTGCCTCAATATTATAATCAGGTACAGATGAGGTAACTTCAACATGTTTTCTTTTGAAAAATCCATCAATTTTAGGTTGTTTCTTCATATACAAACCAATTACAAATTTTATTCAAGACATGATAAATTATACCACCAAAAAAAAAAATTTCATATTCTATGCATAGAACATATAAGATACGAAGCATATAA